GGGGAGATTGAAGACGAGCCGTGCTGCTGCATTCAGGATGAGTTGCAGAGGCTTGATGGCCACATAGGAAGACCAGCCAAGAGCGAGTTTCAGTAGTCAAGCCTTGAGATGACAAGAAACTGAACCTGGGTGGCCTTTCAAGTGAGGAAGGGTCGGATCCTCTGGATGTTGTACAGGAGAAACCTGCATGGCCGAGCACACACTGAGACTTATAGCCAAGATGGTAAAACGGACATGTTGTGGCTCCCGAGGTGGTTTCATTTTTGTTGATGGACAAAATGGCTCTTCTTAACATTTCAGTTACCGATCCCTGAGCTAAGCCTGCTAGTGAAGGGTGATCAGCTCAGTCAGAGTTGCACAGTCGCCACCAATCCTGTTAACGACCGCATTCTGTGGTTCAGATTTTGGGCGGATTGACTGAAGTCTGTAGCGAAATTGCAGCGAAAATGATCACTGTAGCTACACAAAAATGTGTAGGTGCTACAGCTATTAGCTACAAAAAATTGTAGTTATCTACAAAAAGTAGTGCGATACTTAGCCACTCCCCCATCCTTGGTGTTGGGTGTGGTCTGTGTGGAATGTGTGTTAGATGTGAGTAGAGTGTGTGGTGTTTGTTTAGAGAATGTATTGTGTGTCTTGTATGATAAACCTTTGGCTCCAGAGTGTTTACTGACTGTGGTCTGCGTTCATGATCTAAGAGGATGATGATGTAAGTGTTCTGGCGGTTATTTAAGTTGGGTGCACAAACTTTTGCACCCTATTTATTTCTATCAAAAAACTGTATACAAGCACACCATTCCAGATCAGACTGAACATTCCTGAGTTGGAAAGGCGTTGATATCTTGAAAACTGTGAGGTGATTTGGGGACAAAACAATATTTACTAAGAAGAAGAAAGAAGAAAAATACACCTCCAGATAACAGCAGTGTTGTTCACCATCACTAATAAACATGTTATTGTTCATACAGCCTGACTGGTGTTTATATTACAAAGCAGTTTTTATTGCATGACTGCTCATTTACATTTACAGTTCTGTGTGTTTGGTTAGTTTAGGACTAATACAGTTTTTAGTCTGTATCAAGTCTTTCTCACTTAAACTCATGTACTGGAAAGGCTCCTCTACTGATGTGACCCTTTCAACACTGTCAGTGTCTCAAACTCCACATCTGCTTTATATAAAACCTGTGTAAATATGTTTGTATAGTTTATTCAATTTAATGTTTGAGCTCACTTTTTCTTACAAACATCAGTGGCTGTGAAAAATCACTGAGAGCTGTTTAATTCATTTATTTTATCTGTTCAAAAATAACAAAAATATTATAAGTTAGGCTATTTTTACAAACTGCACTGTATAATATAATGTTCTTATGTTAATTTAATGTAAGTTGTGAGTTGGATTACAAACATCAAATTTGTGGTAAATATATTTTATATATATTATTGGTTATATATTATTGATTACTAATGATGAGTATTGGCCCTGAAAAACCACAAACAGCTTTACAATTCCACTCTCACTGATCAGACACAGTCAGACCACCACACAGTGAATCTCAGCAACTGCACACACCCAGAAACAGACCCCCTTACACCCCCTCAGACCCCTCAAAGATAAACAAAATAACTGCAAAACTAACAAAAAGCACTGCGTGAAATAGGCGGGCACACACACACACACACACACACACACACACACATTACCTGTTTGTAGGTTACATCAGTAACTGTAACTGCTGACCCCCTTTGGAAGCTCTCCTTCAGTCACCAGCCTCCACAATTAACCAAACATAATAAATATCCAAAAGTAAGTAAGTAAGTAAAGTTTATTTATATAGCGCTTTTTACAACAGGTGTTGTCACAAAGCAGCTTTACAAGGAAATGAGCATTACAAAAAGAAATCCGGGTCCGAGCCCCCATGAGCGTCGCCAGTGGCGACAGTGGCAAGGAAAAACTCCCCAAGATAAACAGGAAGAAACCTTGAGAGGAACCAGGACTCAGAAGGGGAACCCATCCTCCTCTGGTCGACACCGGATAGTAAACATTGTTAGTATAAAGAATTATAGTACAAAACCAGGGTAAAACGTGAAGCAAACAATTAATTTGAATAGTTCAGTTCATGCAGCAGAAGCAGCAGCATCAGCATCAGTGGGGTCAGGTTGTGGGGGTGAGGTTTGCACGGTGAGCAGTGGCACCCGATCAAGGCAGCAGAGGCAGCAGCATCAGCAGCAGGATGGGCAGCTGTTCAACTCGGCAAAGGAAAGAGAGGAAAAACACACAGTCAGTTCTACAATGGGTGATTGATTAATTTGAATTAGTTTGAATGATTTATTGGTTCAAGTGAATAATTTTGTATAGTTCATGTAGCAACAGCAGTAGTATCAGTGGGGTCAGGTTGTGAGGGTGAGGTTTGCACGGCGTTGTACAGCAGGAGGCTCAATGTTGGTAAGCCGGTCCAGAGGGCTGGCGAGCAGTGGCACCCGATCGAGGCAGAAAAGGCAGCAGCATCAGACGCACAGGATGGGCAGCTGTTCAACTCGGCGAAGAAAAGAAAGGAAAACACACAGAGAGGAAAACACACAGAGTCAGTTCTGTAATGGGTGACCGATCACAGATTACAGTGTTAGCAGAGACTCTGGCAGGTATAGAACTAACAGGGAAAACTAATTACCAAAGGCTTGACTATACAAGTAAGTTTTTAGCCTAGACTTAAACACTGAGGCTGTGTCTGAGTCCCGAACATTAACAGGAAGATTATTCCAAAGCTGGGGGGCTTTGTATGAGAAAGCTCTCCCCCCTGACGTAACTTTATTAATTCTGGGTACTAATAGTAAGCCAGCACCTTGTGATCTAAGTAGGCGTGATGGTTCATAGTGAGAGAGAAGTTCACTCAGGTACAGAGGGGCGAGTCCGTTTAGTGCTTTATAAGTCAGCAAGAGAATTTTATAATCAATCCGAAATTTTTACTGGCAACCAGTGTAAGGCTGATAAAACTGGGCTGATATGGTCGAACTTTCTGGTTCTTGTAAGGACTCTGGCTGCAGCGTTCTGGACCAACTGAAGCTTGTTAAGGCTTTTGCTGGAACATCCAGGCAGCAGGGCATTACAGTAATCTAGCCTTGAAGTAATAAATGCATGAACTAACTTTTCTGCATCCTGTAGAGAGAATGCATTTCTCAATTTAGCAATATTGCAATATTGAGATGCAGGAAGGCCGTTCTAGTAATCTTAGTTATATGTGCGTCGAAGGACAGATCAGGGTCTATAATGACACCAAGGCTTTTTACAGATGAGCTTGATGCAACTGAGAAATTGTTAAGTTTAAGTGTTAGATTAGACAGTTTGTTTCTAGCTGCTTTTGGACCAAGAAGCAGAACCTCTGTTTTATCTGAGTTTAGAAGGAGAAAGTTACTCGACATCCAGTCCTTTATGTCTTGTATACAGTCTTCAATCTTGCTAAGTTTAATTCTATCATCTGGGTCGCTTGCTAAATATAACTGAGTGTCATCGGCATAGCAGTGGAATTTTATGCCGTGTTTACTGATAATGGTGCCTAGTGGTAGCATATATAATGTGAATAATACAGGTCCTAAAACAGAGCCGTGTGGAACACCATATTTTACTTTTGTGAGAACAGATGATTCACCGTTTATATTAACAAACTGATACCGATCAGTGAGGTAGGACCGGAACCAAGAAAGAGCTATTCCTGTTACCCCTACAAGGTTTTCTAGTCTGTCTAGTAAGATAGTGTGGTCTATTGTGTCAAATGCCGCACTAAGATCGAGGAGGACTAACAAGGACACATGATCTTGGTCAGAAAATAATAATAGGTCATTTACAATTTTTACTAGTGCTGTTTCTGTACTATGATGTGGCCTAAAACCAGATTGAAATTTTTCGTGTATTTGATTCCTATGCAAATAGGAGCTTAATTGTTTTGCTACAACTTTTTCCAAGATCTTCGATATAAAGGGGAGATTCGAGATGAGTCTATAATTTGAAAGTTCGCATGGATCGAGGTTCGCTTTCTTAATCAGTGGTCTAATTACTGCTGGTTTAAGAGATTTTGGGATGTACCCAAGGCTAAGAGAAGAGTTTATTATTGACAGAATAGGCTTGGTTATTTCTGGCAGAATTTCCTTGAGTAACCCTGTAGGAATCGGATCTAACATACAGGTAGATGATTTTGCGGAAGAGACTATTTTAAATAGTTCATTTTCTTGGAGTAAGGTAAACGATTCCAGCCTCTCTGCAGGAATTATAATATTTTCAAGGTTGAGGCTGGCATTATAAGGCAGCAGGTTTCTAGAGTTTAATTGCGTATTCTGAATTTTCTGCCTAATTTTTTCAATTTTATCACTAAAGAAATTCATAAAATCATTGCTAGCACTGCAGCATTTGGGACTAGAACAAATGCCAAACCATTCCATTGTATAAAACACATTAAAACCCCCAGCGGCGTTGCTTAGCTTTAACAAATCAACATAGTTACCTGTATCTCATCTTTCTGACTGCAGGGCAAAGCAGCAAGACTGCATTCAGCTACAGAGTAAATGAAACAACCCATTAAACTTCTACACAGAGATTGTGAACTACCAAAATGCCCACATCAACAAACGTGCTAAAATAATCACACGTACCGTGACTCCAGACTACAGTGGCGTTCTGACGGGTCTCGAAACAGCTCACAATATTCACGTTTGCTCTCGACTCTGAACACTAGCCTTCCTGCTGGGTCCTAGTGCCCGTCCTGTTTCCATCCCAGCTGGGACCTAGTGTCACACAGGCTACAAATGTACAGACTCAGTGATCATAATGTAGAAAAAGGCTCCATAAGAAACACTTAAAAAAGAACGACTAATCAGTGTAAACAGACACCACTTTCTCTCCTCACGCAGTAAATATAGACAGAGAGAGACTCAGAGAGAGAGAGAGACAGGAAGGTGAGAACATTTAAATGAGTATATTAATGTGTGTGTGTGTGTGTGTGTGTGTTTAGACTGGAACATGCAGGTGAGAACAGAATCAAACCAGGACTGAAGAAATGTAAGTACATACATACACACACTCACACCCATTCACATACACACACACACACACACACACACACACAGACACACACACTCACATCCATTCACACACACACACATCGTCACATAAACCTACAATATTGGAACATGCCTTTCTGAGAGATCTAGAGATGAAAACAGTTCTGTGTTACAGAAAGTTCATATATTAAGTTCATCAGTTGATATTTTACTATCTACCATCTTTAAAACGTCTGAACTTTCACAGTGCAGTCAGGACATTTTCCAGTTTAAATATCAGGAGATGAAAACACACAATTCTCCTGTTCATACCACACTGTAAGGACATGGTGAAAACTAACCACACACACTGTTCTGACTGTTAAATCAAGAACAGGAACAGAAAAAACTCCAGTACTTAAATAATGATCAGGTGTATAAATGATGCGTCGTGACGCTGCGTAACAAGGCATTATGGAAAATGAATAAGGAATTTATCAGGTATCTGAAAGTTTGTAGTTTAATCAGTGACTTCCTCTGATGTTAATATATTCTTTTTAAAATATAAAACATGAATGATAAGTTGGCTGGTATATTTAATAAATGTCATTCTCTCTCGTAGCCAGTAGTTTATACCATAAAATAATTATGTTACACAAGAAGCAATATAATAAACAGTTAACAGTGAAAAGGGACCACCATAGATTGATCATTCATTGTAGATGATTATTCATAGATTGATCACCATAATCCATTATGCTCAGCACAGCCTTGACACTGAAATGGTCGTGTGTGTTGCTGGAACACAATGTGTGTAAGGGCTGGATGATACAATGATACAGTGATAAATTACATCACAGTATGTTTTTCAGTCAGTACTTCCAGAAAACTGAACAAGTGCATTTATTAGGAATATGAATTCTGAATAATTCGATATGTGAGTAACAGTTAATGAACAGATACTCTGTTAACCACAGAGAAGGAAAACACAATAATAATAAAATAGAAAAAAGAACATCGGCTGAATGTAGGACTGTATGATTACTTATTAGGTGAGAGTGCTGGAGTTAGGATTCTCAAAAAATATGGAGCACAAAATCTTACAGCGCACAAAATAATACACTTTTATTTTTATTATTCATAAACAGCCAAAATCTGAAAGTTTTTGTGTTACAAAGTATCAGAGAGTTAACATCACAGCTAACTGGTACACTGGATACTTAGGAGGACTCGTCATCTTCTGTAAAGGTTTTTTCTTCTCAGTGGATGATGTGAAAACAGTCAGCTTGTCAGAGAAATATCTTTTCATTGTTTCTGGAACGAGCAATCAGCTAGAGTAGTTAACCTAGTTAGCAGCACACCTTAATGCACTTGTGTTTCAGAGCAGCAAAGTTTAACACTATAAAACTATAAAACAAATCCAAGTAAACAGTCACATTAAAACATCACATTCATTGAATAGTTATTCTGTATGTTTTCTCCATTTTCCTGCAATGAAACGTATGGTGTCAAACATTGATTTCAGTGTTCAGAAACTGGTACCTTAAACGGTTAACCAAGCATGCATGCACACATCATTATCATAGACCAGTTTACTGTTTGCCAAATTAAAAACAAGTCACATTAACATGCAGCCTAATAATCCGTTAATAATCTGACAAATAGCTCAGTCGGAATAGACTAGTCTAATTGAGGCCATTCGGAATACAGTTTCTATCCGATTGAACAATAATGTTTAAAAGACGGCGGTGGGACGGACGTACAGCTTATGTGTCTCAGAACACGACGTCTTCCTCTCGGCCTTCTTTAATAAAGACATGTGAAGGACGTTTTCCTGAGTCTGACATCATTTTAAAGACATTAAAAACACAAGCGCTGCTCACTGCTGCTCATCTCACTCTGACTGGACTCGTTGGCATGGTAACGTCTATACTAAGAGGTACTCTGTGCACGCGTTGTAAGTTTGGATCTTATTTCTCGTAGTGAGCATGTAAACAGAAATTTTCATCAGTGGTGAGTAGAGTGAGAATAAACACCTCAGTCTGAATCTATAATTGGAATGTATTCAATCTGATTGGCAAAAATCTATGAATTTTGCATGTAAACACAAACATTGAGTGAGTGAATCTACACTCATTGTCCATTTTATCAGCTCATCTGACCATATAGGTGCACTCTGTAGAATATGGTAAAACTAATTACAGACACTTCTAGAATTAGCCAGTTCTTCAGTGGTCAGGACCGCCACAGGACCACCACAGAGCAGGTATTATTTAGGTGGTGGGTCAGTGACACTGATGTGGTGGTGGTGTCTTAGTGTGTGTTGCGCTGGTACGAGTGGATCAGACACAGCAGTGCTGCTGGAGTTTTTAAACACTGTGTCCACTCACTGTCCACTCTATTAGACACTCCTACCTTGTCAGTCCACCTTGTAGATGCAAAGTCAGAGACGATAGCTCATCTGCTGCTGCACAGTTTGTGTTGGTCATCCTCTAGTCCTTCATCAGTGGTCACAGGACGCTGCCCACAGGACGCTGTTGGCTGGATATTTTTGGTTGGTGGACTATTCTCAGTCCAGCAGAGACACTGAGGTGTTTAAAAACTCCAGCAGCACTGCTGTGTCTGATCCACTCAGACCAGCACAACACACACTAACACACCACCACCATGTCAGTGTTACTGGAGTGCTGAGAATGATCCACCACCCAAATAGTATCTGCTCTGTGAGGGTCCATGGGGGTCCTGACCACTGAAGAACAGGGTAAAAGGGGGCTAACAAAGTATGCAGAGAAACAGATGGACTACAGTCTGTAACTGTAGAACTACAGAATGAGACTATGTGGTCAGTGGAGCTGATAAAATGGACAGTGAGTGTAGATTAAAGTAAGTGGACTTAATGAAGTGTCTGGTGTGTGAACGTCTACAGTTATTATTTTGTAAAGCCAGTTTATTTTTGAATATTTATGTACTGCTTTATGGGCTTCTAAAGTTTCTTTTGTTCTACTTAAATGTTTAGCCTGTTAGCACAAGCACTACAAAGGCTACCAGGTGACTCCATGGCCTGCACAGCATTAACTGAGGAGCTGAGACAAAATAACCCATCCTAAGAATGACCACCTGCTCAGTATACAGTAACTTCCATAATGTGCTGGAATACGCAGATCAGTGAGTTACAAGTATCAACCAAACTGTATTTATATGTTTCTAAAACAACACGACATTCAGACGTTTAATCCAAGACCTTTGTGCACCATTTATTTAGCTCCCGTAAGAGTTAATGCTAATGTTATGATGCTACAGCTGTAAAGAAAATATTAAAATACTCTATAAATTCTATAAACTGTTGTGTGGCTAAACATTTCCATTCAACTTAATCATATTATATAAACATATCACTTAATCTGTAACACTGAAGATTACATTCATGACTTAAAGCTCAAAAACGCCTTTGACAGTAATTTGAGGATAAATATCTTTATTTTACAAAGCTGAGTTCTCCAGATCCACTTTCTCCATAGTCACACATCATCTCATCACCTGGCTGACTGTCATGAATCACAAACACAGGTGTGGTGAATCATCTGCACATATTTATTCCTTTGTATGGTCATCATTGACCAGTCTTCCTAAATACCCATCCTGCTTTGCAGCATCAATTCTAGACACCATTAAAGTAAACAAAAAGAAAAAGGTGACAGAATCAGAGTTTTTCAGTTCAGTCTGGTGATCTGTGTGTAAAGTGTTGTTCAGCTCCAGGTGAAAACAGCCAAAACTCACCTTTCATCCTGGTTGGATGAGTGACTAGAGAGAAGACATCCTTGCTGCTGATTGGTCAGCTGTGATGACATATGGTGCTCTTAAACGTGCAGACTGATAATGTGAAGCTTATTGTTCAGACTAGAGGAAGAGTTTTCAGTCACAGTTCTTCACAGACAACAGTGAAACGTGTGTTTGAGAGAGTTTAAAAGGCGTCTGACGCTCCTTTATACAGCAGAATAACATCTACACAGCTTATGAGCCGAGACAGGTTTGGTGTCTGAAGTTTACTTCTTTAGTTTTAGTATTGGAGCCACAAAGCTAATGTAGCTAACAAGTTCAATTAGCCTTGTAGCTCCAGTGCTAAAGATAAAGAAGCAAACCTCAGACACTGAACAGGTTTTGGCTCATGAGGCTTGTGAGGGGAAAACTGGATGAATTTGATTTTTCAGTGAACCGTTCCTTTAGTTTCAGAACATTTTAGGTGAAAACACACAAAGTTGCTCCTGCAGAGTGAAACACTTTACGAGTGTAAAAACAGGATGGTCAGTACTGACAGTCTCACAGTCCCAACTGTGTTTGTATGTGTAGTCACAGCATTTAGCAGCTTGTCTGTTTTAGTCACCCAACTGAAACCAGGACCACATTGCTGCGCTAAGTCAGACTGTATTCTGACTGTCTAACAGCTTAAATTATATTTTTACTGGAGCTCCTGCCAGTGAAGACCCCTCCATGTCGTTTAACACATCATATAGATTCTAACTCCAATCATACAGTCCTAATTTAACTGTGTGAATATAGAGTCTGATGAATATGGAAAACATGCCACTGTTCACTGCCATAACATTATTGAGCCCCATTTGGAAACATAAACCTTTATGAAGAATGAAGAACTCTGTCTCCAGTTCCTCTGTTTAGTCTGTGGATGTTGTGATACGCTGCAGGGCATCACTTATCAGGGTGATTCTCCGCCGCATCATCAAACTGCATGAACATGTTGTTGGTTATTGACATGCTGAGCCAGCAACAGTCAAATTAATAATTTCAGTGTTCCACACTTTAACATTAGGCAGGATAACAGACAACTGGGACATTATTTTTCCAAAAATCCAACTAAATGCTGCCCTGGCCAGTTTTTAAATCTGCAGAGCACCTTTAGGCCTTCAGCTGTTCAGCTCAGCTTTATTTACTCGTAGAATGAGTAAACTAGTCTTAGTCCAGCTCTGCTAACTGTGGAAATACCACACCAGCGTTTCTAATTATGAGCCCACCTTTATAGTTTAAGTCACCACGAACACTGCCATGTTTGCACATTCAACCATCCAGCTGTGTCCGAGTATAAAACTGTGAATGATCAGATAAACATGCTGTTTCAGGCTTTTATCACATTCTGAATTCACCCAGCCCATAAAGGACTGTTATGTTTGTCTAAATGGTTGCTAACATTAGCCATAAGCTCACCTCAGGATGCCACTGCTTCTCTGCAGAGCACACGCGACCCAACACCGCCCTTCTCACCACTGCTGACCCAAACTCGCCTGGCTGAATAAAAAAAATAAAAAATTACTCTGTCACTTTAAAATAAATCTGATCTACAACGTTTAAAACCATGAAAGTACTCTGGTTTAAAAATCAACAAGCAAACAGCCGCATATCAAGAAAGAAATAACAAACTTGATTAATTCAAACTGCTAGCGTGGATAGCTATCGCTATCACTAACTACGTTAGCAGCAGCTTAGCTCCATTACAATCCAACATACTGTACTTTGAGTATCTTAACCTATTAACGCCCTCAGTTCCAGAGAAAATAAGGCCTCTTGTCTTTATTTCAAGATTAAACAGCTGCACCTGACATCAATTCAAAATAAAGCAGCCCCAGTTACCCCAGTCTGCTAAACGCAAAGCAGCCACGGCTAACGAATGCTCAGCTAACACAAAGGGCTAAACTATATATAAGATACAAATATGTTATTTATGTTGAGCATCTGTGCCCAAGATAACAGTCTTAGAGGATCTATGCTTATGTTATATTTCATGAACCTTATTAGCTCCAGCTAGTTAGCTTAGCTCACTTAAGATTACCTATTAAAAATCAACACTGTGTAACATTACATACATATTTACACCACCACATTTCAAACGTACTTAGTTATTTAAAAAGTACATGTTTTTAGATGGAATATAGTGGAAAAAATACATCCCTGATAAAGAAAATCCCCCTCCTGAGTGAATCTCTGTAGCTCTGGTGGAAGTGTGTGAATTTTGGAGTGAAAGTGTGACACTGCTGTTCTAAATCTTGATTTAATGGATACACAAACCCTTGAATCTGAGAGGAAGAAAAACTCATACTACTGTGGAAACCTTTTACTGTACTTTTTAAACGCCAAATAAAAAGATAAATGTAAGGACAATGTTTACATATTTATATGATCAGTTTTAATGTGCACATGTTCATGATTTTATATTCTCTGCAGCACAGATTTAAAATAACCACCGTAGCTACCAGTGTAGCTTTTAATGTAAAACTAGGTCACAGATTAGGGTAGAAGATTCAGTTAATCACGGGCAACAGGCTACTGGTCTATTAGCTGCTTTACTGTCATCGTCAATCACTCTAGAGACACAGTAAAATCCACCTTCTGCAGCACCAGAACTCCAGTTTTCAGTTGTTTGATATGATTATAGAGTTCACTTCTACAGTATAGAGACAGTGACACTATCACCATACAGAAAGACTGAGCTCCATCAATATATATTAAGCGCAAGATCTTTATTACTTGGATATCGTACTGTAATGTTAATCCTTTGGTAAACAGCTCTAAAACTGATTTAAAGGTAGTTCTTATGTACTGATGAACATGTTATACCTTTGCCAGTCTCCCATTTAGTCCTCACAAAACAAACACTGCTCTTACTAAAGTCTTGGGTTGGTCTAAAAACATTATAATATAAATGACACATGATAAAGTAATGGTGAATAATAAATAATGATGTCAAAGAATGTGGATTTGAATGTTCAAAGTGTTATGAATACAGTAATGATCACTGTATTGATGCAAAAGTCAACAAAGTATCTTGAAGTACAGTCGTCACAAACCAAACCTGTTCTTTTAAAGCAGCTTTAAGTCACTTATACAAAAACATGTCCCTCACAACAGCTTTAGTCAAGGACACAACAGGACACAACAGGACACAACATGTCCTTGTAATCAATAATCGCAGGACACAATCAAGTTGTTTGTGTTATTCAGGGTTGGGGTAGCTACTGAAAAATTAGTAGTTAGCTACTTTATAGCTACTTTCCCAAAATTTGTAGCTGCTACAGTTTAGCTACTTTTCCAGAAAGAGTAGAGGCTACTTTTTAGCTACTTTCAAAGCGCAACTGTCAGAATGAATCTCCACCTGACACACCAAACAAGCCCAGCTGACACACCAAACAAGCCCAGCTGACACCCCAAACAAGCCCAGCTGACAGTGTGAACAAGACACTGCATTTAATCATGAGCCAGAAAGAAACAGACAACTGAAAATATACAAAAAGATGACCAAAAGGTGTGACCAGCGATCAAACTTACTCACCCAAAGCTGTGATATCCAATAAACATTAAGACTAAATGCAAAGTCAACCATTCCAGGTTTTTCCTAACAAAAATCAACAAAAATAACTGAATACAAACCAAACAATTTGTGCAAAGCGCTGTCAACTGTTGAAATAAAACTGCTCCAATTTAAACATTTCAGCAAGATACACTGATCAGCCATAACATTCTGACCACCTCCTTGTTTCTACGCTCATTGTCCATTTTATCAGCTCCACTTACTGTATAGGTGCACTTTGTAGTTCTACAGTTACAGACTGTAGTCCATCTGTTTCTCTGATACTTTGTTAGCCCCCTTTTATATGAATATTAAATTACCTTTTTCTGGATTTATATATTTCACACCAAACCCATCTTTGTCTTTATAAACAGGTGTAACATTTGCTGCCTCTTCTTCTGGATTCAGTTCTCTTTCTCAGCTCCATGGCAGCCATTTTCCATGATGACTCCACTCTTTATAGAAAAATAACAGTTTTATTTTGATCTTTTCATATATGAAATTTTTAGTCTCTTTGTTTGATTGACTGTTGCTAAAAGGAGATCAAGACAATCTTATTACAGCTGACGTCTCACTTTTAGTTCTGATCTAGCTGAGTTTCTGAATGAGACGACTAAACTAATCAAATCAAATCGAATCAGCTGAAAGGTCCTCGTAAACCACAAATACCAAAACGCTCACACACACACACACACACACACACACACACACACACACACACACACACACACTGTCACACACACTGTCACACACACACACACACACACACACAGTCACTCTAATGTCTCTTCTTGTGTGCAGATTCCTGTGAGTTCACTCTGGATCCAAACACAGCGCACAGATATCTCTCTCTGTCTGAGGGGAACAGAAAGGTGCAGCGTGTGGGATCTTCACAGTCGTATCCTGATCATCCAGAGAGATTTAATTACTGGGAGCAGGTTCTGTGTAGAGAGAGTCTGACTGGACGCTGTTACTGGGAGGCTGAGTGGAGCGGGACGGTTTATATAGCAGTAACATATAAATCAATCAGCAGGAAAGGAGACAGTGCTGACTGTGGGTTTGGACGGAATGTAAAGTCCTGGATTCTGAGCTGCTCTAATAACAGTTACTCTGTCTGTCACAATAATAACAGCACTGAACTCTCTGCTCGTCCCTCCAGCTCTGAGACAGTAGGAGTGTATCTGGACTGTCCGGCCGGCTCTCTGTCCTTCTACAGCGTCTCCACTGATAAACTGACCCATCTACACACTTTCAACACCACATTCACTGAACCGCTCTGCGCTGGGTTTGGGTTCGGTTATGTTTATGTTTGGGGTGAAGGCTCCTCAGTGTGTTTAAAATAAAATAACCTCCTGAGTGAAAAACACACACACACACACACAGAACACACACACACTCACTCACACACACACACACACACACACAGAACACACACAGAACACACACACTCACTCACACACACACACACACACAGAGTACACACACACACAGACACACACACACACACACACACACAGATACACACAGACACACAGTAAACACACACAGAACACACACACACACTACACACACAGAACACACACACACACACACACACACACACACACACACACACAGAACACACACACACACAGAACACACACACACACACACACACACACACACACAGAACACACACACACACACACACACAGAACACACACACACACAGAACACACACACACACACACACAGTAAACACACACACACAGAACACACACAGACACACACAGATACACACAGAACACACACACACACAAACAGAACACACACACACACACACACAGAAACACACACACACAGAACACACACACACACACACACACACACACACAGAACACACACACAGAACACACACACAGAACACACACACACAGAACACACACACACACACACACACACAGAACACACACACACACACAGACACACACACAGAACACACACACACACACACACACAGAACACACACACACACACACACACAGAACACACACACACACACACAGACACACACACACACACACACACACAGAACACACACACACACACACACAGAACACACACACACACACACAGAACACACACACAGAACAAACACACACAGAACACACACACAGAACACACACACAGACACACAACACACACACACACACACACACACACACACACACACAGAACACACACACACACACACAGAACACACACACACACAGAACACACACACACACACAGATACACACAGAACACACACACACACAAACAGTAAACACACACAGACACACACACACAGTAAACACACACACACACACACACACACAGAAACACACACACACACACAGAACACACACACACACACAGAACACACACACACACACACACACACAGAAACACACACACACAGAACACACACACACACACACACACAGAACACACACACACACACACACACACAGAACACACACACACACAGAACACACACACACACACACACACAGAACACACACACACACACAGAACACACACACACACACACACACACACACACACACAGAACACACACACACACACACACACACGAACACACACACACACACACACACAGAACACACACACACACACACAGAACACACACACACACACACACACACACACACACACACACACACAGAACACACACACACACACACACACACACACACACACAGAACTCTAACAAATGAAACTGAATAAAAATTAAAAAATTGAATTCTCTCTCTGTCTGTCTCTGTATCTTTCTTTCTCTCTCTCTCTCTCTCTCTCTCTCTCTTTCTCCTTATTCCTCTTTTCTGTGTTAGACTCTTGTATTTGTCACTCTGAGCTCTGTTTGTAGTGTTTGTGTTGTTTTATGTATAAAACAGTAATTATTCATTTTTATATGATCATTTTTATCTTTATTCTTTATAATTAAACAGTCTGTATTTGTTTCTGTGCCTTTAAGACTGATATATGTAAATGAGCTGTGTTCTGATTGGCTGTGCTGTATTGTGCCTCATTAATAAAGCAGTTCAGTCTGTATTTGTTTCTGTGCCTTTAAGACTGATATATGTAAATGAGCTGTGTTCTGATTGGCTGTATTGTGCCTCATTTATAAAGCAGTATGAATAACTAGCGCATTAATATATGGCTAGCAAGCAATTTCACAGCTAGCACGTTAATATATGGCTAGCATGTTATTTCATAACTAGCATGTTAATATATGGCTGGCAAGTAATTTCATAACTAGCGCGTTAATATATGGCTGACATGTTATTTCATAACTAGCACGTTAATATATGGCTGACATGTTATTTCATAACTAGCACGTTAATATATGGCTAGGATGTTATTTTATAACTAGCGCATTAATATATGGCTAGCATGTTATTTCATAACTAGCGCGTTAATATATGGCTAGCAAGTAATTTCACAACTAGCGCATTAATATATGGATAGCATGATATTTCATAACTAGCGCGTTAATATATGGCTAGCATGTTATTTAATAACTAGCACGTTAATATATGGCTAGCAAGTTATTTCATAACTAGCGCGTTAATATAGCTAGCATGCTATTTAATAACTAGCTCGTTAATATATGGCTAGCATGTTATTTCATAACTTGCAAGTTAATATATGGCTGGCAAGTAATTTCATAACTAGCGCGTTAATATATCGCTGACATGTTACTTCATAACTAGCACGTTAATATATGGCTAGCATGTTATTTCATAACTAGCGCGGTAATATATGGCTAGCAAGTTATTTCATAATTAGCATGTTGATATATGGCTAGAAAGCAATTTCACAGCTAGCGCGTTAATATATAGCTAGCATGTTATTTCATAACTAGCACGTTAATATATGGCTGGCAAGTAATTTCATACCTAGCGCATTAATATATGGCTGACATGTTATTTCATAACTAGCACGTTAATATATGGCTAGCATGTTATTTCATAACTAGCGTGTTAATATATGGCTAGCATGTTATTTCATAACTAGCGTGTTAATATATGGCTAGCATGTTATTTCATAACTAGCGCGTTAATATATGGCTACCAAGTAATTTCACAACTAGCGCATTAATATATGGCTAGCATGATGTTTCATAACTAGCGTGTTAATATATGGCTAGCATGTTATTTAATAACTAGCGCGTTAATATATGGCTAGCAATTTATTTCATAACTGGCGCGTTAATATAGCTAGCATGTTATTTCATAACTAGCGTGTTAATATATGGCTGACGTTATTTCATAACTAGCACGTTAATATATGGCTAGCAATTATTTCATAACTAGTGGTTTAATATATGGCTAGCAAGTTATTTCATAACTAGCGGGTTAATATATGGCTAGCATGTTATTTCATAACTAGCGGGTTAATATATGGCTGGCAAGTAATTTCATAACTAGCGCGTTAATATATCGCTGACATGTTATTTCATAACTAGCACGTTAATATATGGCTAGCATGTTATTTCATAACTAGCGCGGTAATATATGGCTAGCAAGTTATTTCATAACTAGCGCATTAATATATGGCTAGCAAGCAATTTTACAGCTAGCGGGTTAATATGTGGCTAGCAAGCAATTTCATAACTAGCGCATTAATATATGGCTAGCATGTTATTTCCTAACTAGCACGTTAATATATGGCTAGCAAGTAATTTCACAACTAGCGCATTAATATATGGCTAGCATGATGTTTCATAACTAGCGTGTTAATATATGGCTAGCATGTTATTTAATAACTAGCGCGTTAATATATGGTTAGCAATTTATTTCATAACTGGCGCATTAATATAGCTAGCATGTTATTTCATAACTAGCGCGTTAATATATGGCTAGCATGTTATTTCATAACTAGCACCTTAATATATGGCTAGAATGTTATTTCATAACTAGCGTGTTAATATATGGCTGACATGTTATTTCATAACTAGCACGTTAATATATGGCTAGCAATTATTTCATAACTAGTGGTTTAATATATGGCTAGCAAGTTATTTCATAACTAGCGTGTTAATATATGGCTAGTATGTTATTTCATAACTAGCGGGTTAATATATGGCTAGCAGGTTATTTCATAACTAGCGCGTCAATATATGGCTAGCAAGCAATTTCACAGCTAGCGGGTTAATATGTGGCTAGCAAGCAATTTCATAACTAGCGCATTAATATATGGTTAGCATGTTATTTCATAAAGAGCGCGTTAATATATGGCTAGCAAGTAATTTCACAACTAGCGCATTAATATATGGCTAGCATGTTATTTCATAACTAGCGCGTTAATATATGGCTAGCAAGTTATTTCATAACTAGCGCGTTAATATATGGCTAGCATGTTATTTAATAACTAGCACGTTAATATATGGCTAGCAACCAATTTCATAACTAGCGCATTAATATATGGCTAGCAAGCAATTTCATAACTAGCGGGTTAATAAATGGCTAGCAAGTTATTTAATAACTAGCATGTTAATATATAGGTAGCATCTTATTTCATAACTAGCATGTTAATATATGGCTAGCATGTTATTTCATAATTAGCGCATTAATATATGGCTAGCAAGCAATTTCACAGCTAGCGGGTTAATATATGGCTACCAAGTTATTTCATATCAAGCAGGTTAATATATGGCTAGCAATTATTTCATAACTAGCGGTTTAATATATGGCTAGCAAGTTATTTCATAACAGCGCGTTAATATATGGCTAGCAATTATTTCATGACTAGCGGGTTAATATATGGCTAGCATGTTATTTCATGACTAGCACGTCAATATATGGCTAGCAAGCAATTTCACAGCTAGCGGGTTAATATATGGCTAGCAAGCAATTTCATAACTAGCGCATTAATATATGGCTAGCGTCTTATTTCATAACTAGCGCGTTAATATATGGCTAGCAAGTTATTTCATAACTAGTGCTTTAATATATGGCTAGCATGTTATTTAATAACTAGCACGTTAATATATGGCTAGCAAGCAATTTCATAACTAGCGTGTTAATAATGGCTAGCAAGTTATTTAATATCTAGCATGTTAATATATGGCTGGCATGTCATTTCATAACCAGCGCGTTAATATGTGGCTGGCAAGTGATTTCATAACTAGCACGTTAATATATGGCTGGCATGTTATTTCATAACTAGCGTGTTAATGTATGGCTGGCATGTTATTTCATAACTAGCGTGTTAATATATGGCTAGCAAGTTATTTCATAACTAGCGCGTTAATATATGGCTAGCAAGTTATTTCATAACTAGCGCATTAATATATGGCTAGCAAGTTATTTCACAACTAGCGCATTAATATATGGCTAGCAAGTTATTTCATAACAAGCGGGTCAATATA